TGAGGGAATTGTGGTTGGGGAGTGAGGGGCACCAGCAGGCCCAGGGGGTATGGGTGGGGAGTGATGGGCACCAGCAAGGCCCAGGGGGCTGTGGGCGGGGAGTAATGGATTTTGGGGTTTTTAATCAGAGAATTTGCAATTTTTACACAGAGAAAACCAGGATCCCTGTTGATCATATTGGGGCTCAGGAAGGAATTTTACTTCATGGTCAGTTAGATTGGTACAAACTATGAGGGTTTTTGCCTTCCTCTAGCAGGCAGCATGGCCTTCTCCCTGGGATTTCATATATTAACAGCCTTGCAGCAGCAGGATGTTGACTACCATGGTTCCCCTGCTTTACCTGTGGCAGGTTAGGGTGTTATGTCTTGGTTTTTGTGCCAGGGTGGACTGTGTAGTTTTGCTAAGAGGTTAGACAAGTAATTGGTATAGGATGGTGCATCCGTCTGGCCTCTTATAGGTGCTTTCTAGTGGCTTTAGAGTGCACACCCAGCGCCAGCCTCAGGGTGTGTCCTTAAGGCCTAGGCGTTGGGTTGCATTCGCCCCTGAGGGAGGCCCCACCACTTTCCTGCCATGACTTGATCTTCTTTTCTTCAGTGGCAGGGCTCCTTCTCATAGTCCAGGTGCTGCCCTTAGCGGGCATTCTTGGGGCTCCATATCCCCTACACCCCAGTCATGCGCCAGCTGTCAGGACTGCCGGATGATGGGTTGTGGCCTGTCCCTTGATGTCGTTGCCTGTGCTCTCTCTCCCTGCCCATCTCTTGTTGTCCCTTCACTCTTCTCTCGAGGCATAGTGGTATGCTGAGTTGCCTTTTCCCTTTGACCCAAGGGGGCATCTAAAGTCTCCCTCTCTGCTCTGGGCTCTTGTGGGCCCTCTAAAACAACAGCACAAAAAAAAGGAAAATAGAAAGGAATAGTTGGGGGTCGGGGCTTCAGCCCGCCCTACTCACAGGTCCAGTGTCTGTGGTCCTCAGGATTCCTCGATGCTGTTGTCCTTGGCCCGGCTGCCCAGCCAAGCCAGAGAGATGCCTTTTTTAATGGAGCTGGTGTTACACAAATTGCCAATTGCTCAAATCATGAGTGAGACTTTTATAAAGGGGGATAAGGCAAGGTGCCCCGTTTATTGATTACATGAGTTAGACACAGAGGTTCAAGCACACTGTTCATACAAACACACACAAATCATCATACACATAATCACACACAGGCATACACATACAGAAAACAACCATTTCATCCACACATATATGAGATATAGTTGCCAGCAATAGTTGCTCAGTATCAGCCCAGGGTGGCCAACCCGGGTTTGAGTAGATGATTTGAAGATAGCAGATTTAAAGATAACAGCTGGAGTGGGGTGAACAGATGTATCTGTGGTCCGATGGAACAGCAGTAGAGAAAGAGACTCGCCCAACTTGGCATTTTCAAAGTGTTCTTTTATAGGGATTGGCATCCTTTGTTTCAGTGCTTTGGGGTTTTTCCATACCCAGCTTCTGTTTTTGTGGTTGTTGTTTTGTCCTCAGCTTATCTTAGCCTTGGAGTGTTTTTGTTGCCTGTCTGGCAGAATTTCTTCTTCTGTTATGTCCTTTGTGCCTTCAAGCTTCAAAGGGATTCTTCAGCCTTTTGTTAGTTAGTGGTTTGTAACTTACATTTGGCGGCTTGTTGCTTACATAAACAATTGAATCTTCTTCCGTCTCTATGCCATTCTCTCAACATTCACCCTTTTACCCGCACTCATACATAAAGGCTATGCAAAGTTCATTCACTTATGTCAAGGAGAAGGATACAAAATGGAGTTTTCAAGTTGCTTACAGGACAAGACTAACATGGTTACATTTCACTATTATTACACTCTATGTTAACATCAGCTACGTTAATTCAGTTCATGCTACACTGGGACCCCTCCTGTGGGTCTCCGTCTGGCTCCTTGTCAGGCTGCTGACACAGCCCGTGTTCAGCCCAGGAGCAGCCTTGCCTCCTGGCTTCAGCGTTGCTGCTCCCCTTTCCATTCCTTCACTGCTGGCTTTTAAATTAGCCAGGCTGCGATTTTTGATGACGTCATTGGCTGGCACCACTCCCAGCCATCAATAAAAGTGGCTGACAAACTGTGCGGGTGGTTCGTCCCGGTGTGGCTCCATTCTTTCTGAAAACAGTAAGTACGCCCCATTTTCAGGGCTTTTCATTTCTTTCTTCAAGTGGGTCAGCCCTGTCTCGGGTCCCACCATGGGAGGGTGCCCTGGGGCCTCCGCTTGTGTCCCCCTGGGACAGATGGTTTGGATACGGATGATTTTGCCTAAGGCAGGGGTTTAGACTAGATGACCTCTCAAGTTCCCGTACAACCCTTCTTTGTGATTATGAGGAATCTATTTTAAAGCACTTGGAGAAGAACAAGATGATCGGGGACACAATATTGCCAACACTCATGATTTTTGGCATTGTTCTTAAAATCTATGCTTCAGGAATATGAAAAACTTTAATATATATATATATATTCCCCCCCCCCCACAATATTATAAAAGCCTTACTCTCTTTGTCTGTAACGCTTTATTTGCAGTCTGATTGGTTGTCTCAGCAGCCAATGACAATGCTTACTGAAACAGTCAATCAGAGTGCTCTGTGCTGACAGAAGTGTCACCATGACTGTGGGGACTGAGGGGCAGGAGCGGCATTGGCTTGTCCCCTCCCAGCCCTTCAGTCCCTGCTGTCATGGCGGCACTGTCCCCCAGCAGGTCTGGAGTGGGGTGGTGAGGCCAGCTGTGCTGGCCTTGCCCCCCTCCATGGCCCTGCTCCTTGGAGGCAGAGGGGAATGGGGGTGGGGGGGTGGGAAGAACAGCAAAGTTCCATACCGTTGAACGTGCTCAGCATATATTAAAGACTAGCCAATTGCCCGTCAAGAATGACCGGTGGGGGGGAGCGGGGCCACAGGGCCAGAGGCAGAGCGACAGCAGCGTGGAGCATTGGTTGGTGCCACTCTGTCACTGCTCCTCCCCTGTCATTTTTGACGGGCAATTGGAGTGTGTGTATGAAAGAGCTAAGTTTTTCACATTCCTGAAGCATAGACTTTAAGAACAACACCAAAAATCATGAGAGTTGGCAATTCTGCTAGCCATCATGGATTTGCCAAGAGCAAGTCATGCCTGATCAACATGAGTTCCTGTTATGCTATGGGGAAGAGCTGTACATTTGATATATCTTGATTTAAAGGCTTTTGACAGTTTCCCATGACATTCTCATTAATAATCTAAGAAAATACAGACTATATGAAAGTACTGTAAGATAGATATACAAGTTGTTGCATCATTGTACTCAGCAAGTAGTCATCAATGTTTAAATGACAAGTTAGGAGAATGTATCAAGTGTGGTTTCCCAGGGAGTCTGATCTTGGGTCTGGTATTGTTTAACATCTTCATTAATACTTTGAACGATCAGATTGAGTGCGTGCTTAGCAAATTTGCAGGTGATAGCAAATTGGCTGGAGTTGCAGATACTCTGAAGGGTTTGGGCCGGGACCTAGAATGACTTGTATAACCTGGACTAATGGTCCAAAATCAATCAGACAGAATTCAACAAGTACAAAGTCCTGCAGTTAGGGTGGAATAATTGCATGAACGAGTACAGACTGGGGAATGATTGGCTAGGCTGCAGTATTTTTAGAAGCTGAATATGAGCTAATAATGTGAACTGGTTGCAAAAAAATCCAAAACCAGATGGCATACCTTGCATTAACAGTAATGCCACTTGCAAAGGGAAGTAATTCTTCCCTTTGTTGGTCACTGGTGAAGCCTCGCCTGGAGTACTGTGTCCATTTTTGGGCCCCATACTTGGAATCTACCAGAATGACCAAAATGATTAGAGGTTTTGCCAACATTACTTATGAGGTAAGGTTGATAGAACTAGGACTATTTAGTTTAGGGAAGAGAAGAGTGAGTGGGGATTTGGTAGTCTTCTAAGATGTGAAGGTTGTAGGGGACAGGACTGTGGCAATGACCTCAAACTGCAGCAGTGGAAATTGAGGTTGAAGATTAGGAGGAACTTTCTCACTGTGAGGGGGTGGTTAAACATTGTAGCAGGCTACCTAGTGAGGTAGTGAATTATTAATCCCTGGAAGTTTTCCAGAGCAGGGTAAACAGACACTTGATTGAGATGGTTTAGGGATAATTCTGCTCTGAGTAGCCATCTTGACTAGATGACCTCATGAGTTCTCTTCTAGTCCTATGATCCTGTGATCTTACAACTTCTGTGCAAGGTTTCAGAAAGATTCAAGTTGATCTAAATGTTTGTTTCCTTCATCATCCTGACCAATATTTGTACTGGAAGAAGACAGGGTGCAGGGAGGATTGGTAGCAATACTTTGACCAAACTGCTGATGTACCAAAACAATTTACCTAAATTAATTCAGTGATTTAATGCATTATTGTTCCTGTAGTCTTTAAAATTTATTAGACGTACTGTGGCTGATGGGACAGAGGGTCCAATGTGGTTGTCATACTCCAAGGGCATATTATCATACTTCTTTTATTAAAATTTTACCTGTGCTATTATGGGATGGATTTATCTTCTGTTTTGAAATAAATGGTGACTTTGTTGAGGTAGATGTCATTGTGAAATAATTTATGTAGAAAGACCATTCTATTCTAGAAGATGCTTTTTGGAGCAGTGGCTATCATTTATCTTGTTTACACCATGACTAGCACTGTGGTGCAAAATCTGGTGTAGATGCTACTTCAAGATAAGTGACATAATACTTATCTATTTTGTGTGGTCTTCAATAGTGATATTTGAGTACCTCAGCAGATAAAATTGTATTCTGACTAGAATGAAGCTAATCTTTCCTGGATTAGATGGTCTGAAATCCATTAGTATATAAATGTTCAAGCAGTTTACCCAACAGAATCACAATAATTCTTTACTGATTTAAAATTGTTTTACATACCTTTATGGAGAGGAACTACCTTGGAACAATTCTATCTAGCTGGATGATCTTACTCTTGTGTTTCTATTAGGAGTGAGTTAAAACACTCTGAATCTCTTTGGACTGAATACTGTATGAAGTTAAAAGACACAGAGGAGAAGATTATAAAAGATAAAAAACACCTTGAAGAGTTGGTGAAGCAAAAAATAGAGATCCAGGAGGACACACAATCTTGGAACAGTAAAGTGAGTTTTGAATATTTATAAACAAGTAATTGAATTTCTTTTACTGAAAAAAAAGAATATTTTGTATGTTCAAAAGTTAGATTCTTCTGCAATCTGAAATGAAAATACTGATTTTGAGTGAACCAAGAATGTTTGAGGTACTATAATAATTGTATGGAACCATTGAATATATTATACTAACTATAGTTTTAACACTGTTTATGAAAAAAGTAATAATACATAGTCTGATAGTTCTTTAAGTTACCTCTGCATTCTTGCACTTGACTGCACTCCCACCAAGTACTGCCAAACTTTAAACTTTCTGTGGGGCTGCATAAGTGTAGTCTAGGGTCTGGAACATTCAAAGTTTAAATTACAAGTATTATGCTTCTAGAGTGATTTTTGTTTTACTGCCACATTTATCCTTATTTTTGTTTTCTGCCTTATATAGTTGATTTACTATATAGTAAAGTTTTGGAACCTTTTAAAATCAGAGCTGTAGATTCTTATTCTGATGAGCTAACAATTAAAGATCTTGATCACATTCGACTTAAAATGTACTTGTAGAGTACAATATAACAGATTATAAAATTTACCAGTATAAAGGTCACCTATTTAATTATTTTATCAGAGAGAATAAAAAGAGAAGGGAGCAAAAGAATGTATTTTTTTTACCTAATTCATATTCAAGGGGGGCAGGGGGGGAACTATTTCTTCCAGAATCCAGAACCTGTTAAATAAATATATTGTGTACAATCTATAAAAACATGGTGATTATAGTCCTCTCTGAGCTACATACATCTCCACATGGGGAGCCATTTGAAGAAATTATGTGCACTGGTCTTTGGCTTATCCATCCTGGAGACCTCAATGTGGCTAAATTGATTAGCTGTATACTAGGAGCACAGCTGTAAACTTTTTAGCAGAAACTAAAATGGCAAATGATATTTTCTTATGCGATGACATGCTGGACTTAAAGCTCTGATATTTAGAGGCTTTAAAAAACAAAACAAAACACCAAAACCTGCATTTTCAAGATATTCATGTAATTGGAAAATGAGGGTGTGGATGAGTGTACATCTTGGCTGCCTTAAAAATATAGGGGAGCTGCTTCTTGGAAGTACATATGCTTATTACAATCTAACTGATTTTATAGTCCTGTAACTATTCAAGTTCCTATGTCATCCTAATTCTGACCCTGAATGAAGCAGGGTTAAAATTGGAGTGGTATTGTTATAATTGTCACCACCGTGTTGTTCAGGTGTAAAAATCATGTTTACTGCGCTTTCTTTTAGGCTGCATCTTGTTGGTTTGCTGTATACTACTAATCCAAAAAAGGATTAGGTGTGATGTTGCTCAGCATTGCCACACCTACCTGTAGGTGCCAAACTCCAGGAGTGGCATTCACTGAAATTCAATTTTACAGTTATGCACCTAAATCATGTCTTTAGGTTCAGGTGATTGGCTCACTATTTTTTTAAAGTACAGTGGGGTACTGCTAGAGGTAGGAAAAAAGTGAAGGGATTTTGTTTTTAAGATTCAGTGGTAATAAAGTGCCAATTTAAAATAAATACACATATTTGTCAGTAACTGTCAAATTCAGTTCACAATCAGAGGTAAGCATGACATCCTTTGTAGTAGATAAATTGTTTATTGAAATGTTATTTTAAAATGGTATAAATGAAAACTTCATATATTTATAGTAAAGTTTTATATATTACTTATGTTTTAATAATTGTGATTTTATTTTTGGCATGTCAGTAGGTTATTAACTAAATACTGCACTAATTGATGGTTTCATCTCAGTAGGCTTCCAGTTTTGAATATAATCTTTTAGTAATTGATAGGGTAAACTGTTTAATGTGCATTTCATTTAGTTATCCTGAAGAAAATTAAATTAAAAGGGCAGAAAAGTAACTTCCTACATATGCTAAGGATACTTTTTATGATTATATGCAATTAGTTATCAGAAATATATGCCTAAATCAGGGTAAAAAAAATCTGAATGACTGAATTTTTTGGAAAGCAGCCATACTTTCAACTAATTTCAGTTCAATACATGATAAGTTAGACCACTGCATTCTGGAGAGATTTACTTTATAAATAAAAATGGACTTTTAAAAATGTGCCCATTAGTACAGCTTAAAGTTACCACTTAAGAGGGTAGACAAAACAACCATTGGCCCTTTCTGATTAGACTTCAGTAACAGCAAAACAAAAGATGGTACTGAGCTGGCTATTAGCTTTTAAATTAACATTTGTGTCTGGCCACACTTCATATGGTATCTTCTGGCCCTGGGCTCTAACTAATAGGAAGGTAATTCTTTAGTTTTCAATCTTCTAATTAAATGAAGGAGAATTTGGAGGAAAGCCTTAGCACTATGATCAAGAAAGAGGATTCTGGAAAGAAATGCAAAACTCAGTGACTATAATCTATAGAAGGCATAGGGGAGATTTGCAGAAGAAATCAGAACACAAGCAAAAAAAGTATAATATAGATCTAGATTTTATGGAGTTATAGCTAGTCTTTCTTGCCACAAGAAAATGAAACAATATAAGAAACAGCAATTTTCCTGTTTAATTTGGGGAATGTCTTCACTGTGCCATCGTGTCACATAGCAGAGGTTTAAATGAATAAGATGGCATATGTGTAGGAATCAGCGACTGAGAAAGATGAAAACAGTAAGTAATAATACTTCATTAGCCTTAGGCACCATTTTAAGAAAAAGATAAGTGTAGAGGACTCTTATTAGGAAGAATGTAAATGAGGACAGTGCAAGAAAACAATTACATTAGAGTACCCCATTTGTAAATACATTTAAAAAAAAAATGACACACTGAAAGCAAACACTAAAACAAAAGATTTAGGGATAGATCGGAAGAGATGTAGGTGCTTGAAGCACAATTTAGGCAGAATTCAGGCACCTAAATCTAGTAAGTAATACACAAAAACCCTATCTAACCACGTGTGTGCTTGAGAAATTTTAGATGCTTAATTTTTTCCAGCAAATAATTTAAGCATCCAAAATTCCTACTATTATACATGCTCAGAACTTTCATCATCTTGGCTAAGCTGAATGTCTCAGTTCTGATCTTTATACTTAAGGCTATTTGGGGTTCACAGTATAGGCATCCCTGTGCCTGAGTCCACCAAGAAACCCAAGCTGATAATCTATCCTTTTTTCTTCTGTTTCTTGATGATGATGAAGCAAGTCTCACCACACATATTTTGGAAGCATGAGGGCCAGAAAGCCAGCAACAGGTTGAATGGTCAATGTCAATGAGACCTTGCGCATCTTAAGGAGGGCTGTAAGGGTATTCATAGGTGATGTGGTTGGCCATCTGAGCTATTTTCTGCTAATGCCTAACAACAACCAGTTATTTCCCTTTTTTCTTTTGGCTAATGGAAGCAGAGACCTGAATTGTGGTTGCTGCTAAGACTTAGGTCCCATTCACTCATTATACTGTTTCCAGAATTCTCTGCTGTGCAATGGATAGGAACAAGATACCTCTTACAGTGAGAAACAATAAAAGCTCCCTGCTCTCCTGTAAGCAGTGGCTGTACAGGTAGGTGTATATGCTGCACAGAAGAGTGGGCATCATGTATAGAACAGGACATTTCCTCACCTTAGTTGTGATTGCTGAACATGTTTACAAGTCTGACTTAAGGCCAGGAACGTTTCTCCCAACTCTTGCCAAGACTATTTTCAACCTATTTTCCTTCTTTGCAGAAGCCATTTGACCTTAGGAAGCAGATAGAGCAGGGTAGCATCTTAGAGAGAAACTGATTCAGAGAGGCCATTTAACTTTAGTTCCACTAGTAGCTTCTGTTCCTCCAGTGGCTCAAATGTCCAATGCTACAAAATATCATCAAGAGTTTTAATTTAGAAACGATTCATTTTTGTCTTCCAGTGATAGTGAAGCAGAGCCCTTATTGAATGAGGACTTGAAAGAGAGCTTTTGTTAGTCCTTTCTAGTCAGCTCTTGAAGACAGTTGTTTGCAAGCCAGTTAAAACTGCTGGGTGTCATCTTGATATCTCAGAAAATGTCCTGGGAAATGTTTCTGTGCTATATAGTAGAAAATAGCACAGTTTGATAAATGCTTTCCAGACCCAAATATAAAGATTAATTTGCTTTGCCAGTGAATGATTTTATGAGTCTGCCCTAATGTTTTATTAACATATAATTTCAGCTACTTTATACCTACTTTAGAACTAGAGAAGTAAAATTCCTGGCAAGGAATTCCATGAAGAAATAGGTTCTCTCTTAGGGGGAACAAATTTTGGAAAAACTAAAATAACTTCATTTATTACTTGCTTATTGAACCAAAATATTGTTTCACTCAGAATGATAATTATACTAATTATAACTTAGCAAAATAGTACCATTAGCTATGTGTGTGACATAAATAAATCCTTCTTTTGAATAGAGATGGAGCTGCATGCTAAGGTACCTGTATGTATTTTTTGCTTATTGCGATCTCTGTCAAATTGGGGGATGGGGGAAATGAAATGTTGAAAATAGAAAGTATTGATATTGTTGACTTGTAAACAAAAGAAAGGTTAGGTCATTAGGCCCCAGAAATAATGTAAAGAGAGAGTTTGGTACAGATACAGAAGAAACCTGTGTTTCTAGAGATAAAGCTCAGAGTATCTCTATTACATACTCATTATAGTGCAGCTTGAACTTGTAAGATCTTCATATAGCGCTGTTACTTGAAGAGTCAAGTTCCCCGTGATGGCATGGAGGAAACACGAGAAGCACTTTACCTGCTGAGTCAGCACAAGGTGGTGAAGCAGCGACGAAAAATGGGGCTGAGTGAGACGACAAGCGCCAAGGAAACCCCAGCATGTGCCACCAGTGTTTAAAGAGCAGGAACCCTGCACCTGGGTTAAAAAGCCCAACCTGAGGAGATGAGCAGACCAGAAGTGTGGTTTGGAAGCCCTGGGAGGGGCAAATGGTTGAAAGCAGCCTGCTAGTAGGAAGCCCACTGAGGCAGCTCAGAGGAGCCAAACAACTTA